TTCTATTGTTGTTAAACATAAAACTTCAAACGATAAACGTAAAACCACAATTGTATTATTTTCGGAATATTTTATAGGAAATTATTTACGGGAAAAAATTGTTTTTTGAACCCGCACATGCATTTCCGTTTCCGTTTATGATTCGATAAGCGTTCTTTAAAACATGCCTCCAAAAAGAAAATCCTACACAATCGACAATAAATTAGATATCATTAAGAAACTAGAGAATGAATATGGAGGAAATATTAGTCTAGCATCTAGAGAGACTGGTATAGATAGGAAGCGAATAAGAGAGTGGTTAAAACAAAAAATTGATTTGTGCCAGGGAGAAGATAAGAAAAGAAAAAGACATATTGGAGGTGGAAGGCCAGCCTTTCATGAAAGGTTAGAGCATGATTTGTTTGACTGGTTTGTAAAAAAATAGGGAGCGAAAGAAAATTATCAAGTATAAGGATAAAAGAGAGAAGGCACTTGCATTGAAAGAAGAATTTGAAGTCAGTGATGATTTTTAAATGCTCTGATAAATGGATCTATAATTTTTGTCAGAGACATAACTTAAGTTCACGAAGAATAACTCATCATGGCCAACAAGATGACAGAGATAAAATGGTGATTAAAAGGACAGTGAAAAATTACATGGAATGTGTGAATGCAGCAACGATCGGACTTACCAATGATGACATTTTCAACATGGACGAGACCCCATGCTATGTTGACATGATTGGAAGTTCCATGTTGCATTTTGTTGGTGACAAAAATGTTTACGGCATGAACACAGGGCATGAAAAGACAAGGTATACAGTGGTTTTATGCATAAGTGCTTCTGGTCGGGTTATTAATAATACTGAAGGGACTTAAAAATGTACCGAAATGTGACATTCCGGAAAATATTTTTTTTGACAGTGTCAAAGGGAGGCTCCATGACAGAGGATCTAATGATTGAATGGCTAGAAAATGCCTACAAAAGAAGAGGGCCTTATTTCACAACAAGAAAATCATAGTTGATCATGGACAGTCACAGGTCCTACACCAGTGAAGCTGTTCTTGCAGCATGTACACACATAAATGCAACTATCAAACTTATTCCTGCCAAAACAACATCATTCCTACAGCCCTTAGATGTTGGTGTTAATTTTAAAGCAGAAATGGAAAGATTGGTTTGAAAATGGGGGGAAGGAATATACACGAGGTGGATACAGGAAAAAGCCATCTTATGAACAATTACTTCAAATGCGTCAGAAAGCGTAAAAATTATCTCACCTGAAAACATACGAAAATCATTTAGCGCATGTGGGGTAATATGTGATGATGACAAGAATCTCAACCAGCGATTGAAAGTTGTAATCAGTTTTGAAGCTGAAGAAGGTATCAGACGTGCACAGGAACAGAACTATGATGAAGAAGAGTCTGAAGACCCTTTTGAAGATCTCACAGATAATGACTCTGATTAAAAACATTTTTTGTACTTTTTCAATATTTCAAACAGCAAAATTTTAACGTAAATTATCTTAACTGTGTTATCTGTATTTTTATTTATCAATTCTCAAGAAGATTGTTGGATGAATGATAACATTTAAATCTATGGGTAATCTGATTTATATGAAGAAAAACAATCTTTAAAAAATGATCCTTTCACTTTACTTACGACTGATCTTTATTACAAAATAAAATAACGTTTAAAATTTTTTTTAAACATATTTTCAACTTAGAAAAGATTTTGGCTGGAAAACAGAAAAAATATACAAAGAAATGACATGCGAGTGTCTCAGGTAATAAGTAGTTTAACAGATTTGTATTTTCCATATAAACGCCCATGGGCCTTTATTTGGTAAAAAAATCTCAATCATGTAACATCTTTTTTCCGTTTTGAAGCCCATGGCTTATTTACGGAAATCTCCGGTAGTAGTTTGCAACATACCATTCTTTTTTAATCCATTAACACAATAATTATTTAACATTATGATGCACACATGTTTTTCTCTCTCTTTTTTTAGCTCTTGCTGTCTCAGAAACTGGAGACAGCAAGATAAAACAAAATGGAACTGAAAATAAAAATGTGACAGTACCTACAGGAAAGAAAGTGGCAACTGTTCCCAAAACAAAACCACAACCTTCCCCAAACGGACAGCAGCAAAAAAGGACAAGGTAATATGTATTGACTTGTTATCAAAATAAAAATTGGGGTGGGTGGGGGGTGCTGGAGACTGGGCCTGTCTACTGAAAAACTTAATGTTTTATCTGTTTAAAAAAGGCTCTTAGGCCAGAATGCTCCATACCTTTGTAAACATGAATGAGGAACTTTAGACAGGGACATTTTTATATTGCAAGACCACTCAACAGGGACTTTGGTTGGAAATAAAAAGAATACTTTTATAATGCATTAGGGATAAAGTAGGAGAAATTCCATTCCACCAGCTTTCCCCAAAGGGAGGCTAGAAGCTGTTAAATTTGAACACAAAAAACACCAAACAACACAAACTGAATGCTTCTGTGTGCGATAGTTGATAAAATGATGGAATATTGGTGCAGCAATAATATGGAAATCTTATGAGTTATTCATAATTTATTCTGCATATCTCAAAGACAATAGTGTAATCCCACTGGAAATCTGCCTGGCCTGACTACAAAGCCCGGGCCCAGCCCATCCACACAGAAAACCACTTTATTCAAATATACAAATGGTTTACCAGCAGCTTTCTTTCCTCACCAGTTCTTCAAAGACGTCCTACAAATCCTGGTTGTTTGTAGTCCTCGGCTTCGCTGCAGTAGCGTCGGCTGTTGTAGTTGGAGCAACACGAGACAACATTAAGGCTGATATAGGTAAACAATGTCTCTGTCATCACTGGTCATTTAAGAGTAGCCTGAGATTAAAAAACATTACAAGCTGCCTACAAAGTGTTTTACTTACACACACATGTGTATATATAATTTTATTTATATTATATATTACTGCTTATAATCTGAGAAATTTACCGTACAAAAATGTTACTTAACACATGGGGGATTCACATCATAGTCACATAAACAAATTTTTTTCATTACCCGGTAACATTTAATATTTAAACATAGCAACAAAAATTTAACCACTCCTCTTTGTTTTTTGTTGTACACACATCCTAACATGTTTTCCTCTTTCCTAAATGGATGAATCACTACTTTCTAATGAAATTAACTTCTGTAAAGTCAGATTTTCATCAAATTTTGAGTATACAGAGTCAAGATAAATAACTAATTAGAAAAAAAATTGGACTCGGGTGATGAATTTGACGTAATTAATGATAATTCAGCATATAATTATGCTAGCTCTAATAATACAGGTCCTTTAAGATACATTGTATTGAATTTAAATATTTTAAATCCAGAAAAATAAAAATTGTCTGCCTTGGAAATGTAATTGAGTTTGCTTTTTTTAATAACCTTATGTTAACCTTTCTGGTGCAAAAAGTCATGTCACGGAACTAGATCAACTTGTCATTATACATGGACATGAGATTTTAGGGATTTGTTCAAACTGGATAACAATGTATGCTGCAATATAAGAGCAAATATCAAATTATTATAATAATTAACATTTAAAAAAGAACAGCATACGATTTAATTAATTCTAAAAAACAATTATTAAGTTAATTTTTTTCTACCTATATTGTTTGTTGAGTGGTCGCAGCCACAATCTGTTATGTTAATAATGGTTATTTTGATTAAATTCTTGCTTCAGAATTTGTTTTGGATAAGTACATCCACCCACAAGTGCTGTACGTGAGGGAACTGTTTGAAGGGAGCACACTTGGGAACACATCTGAAGGCATTCCAAAGGTCAGCGATATCGGACAAGAAGATCTGGACGCAGATGATCTTTTGTGGAGCAGACAGGAGGAGTTAAAAAGAGATGAAGTGAAAGAAGAAATGAAAAATGAAAGAGTGAAAGAAAATGATCAACACAAGCAGCAACGGGATGTCAAGGAAACACTCATTAAAAAACAGGGGGCTAAAGAAGTAAGGAAAGAGAGTGAAACCGAAGTTAAACAGCCTGTGAAAGAAGGGGAAAAAAAACAGCCTGTCAAAGTAGAGGAAGTAAAACAGCCTGTCAAAGTAGAGGAAGTAAAACAGTCTGTCAAAGTAGAGGAAGTAAAACAGTCTGTCAAAGTAGAGGAAGTAAAACAGCCTGTCAAAGTTGAAGAAGTAAAACAGCCTGTGAAAGTGGAAGAAGTAAAAAAGCCTGTGAAAGTAGAGGAAGAAAAACAGCCTGTCAAAGTAGAGGAAGTAAAACAGCCTGTTAAAGTAGATGAAGTAAAACAGCCTGTCAAAGCAGAGGAAGTAAAACAGCCTGTCAAAGCAGAGGAAGTAAAACAGCCAGTTAAAGTAGATGAAGTAAAAAAGTCTGTCAAAGTAGAGGAAGTAAAACAGCCTGTCAAAGCAGATGAAGTAAAACAGCCTGTCAAAGCAGAGGAAGTAAAACAGCCTGTCAAAGCAGAGGAAGTAAAACAGCCTGTCAAAGTAGATGAAGTAAAACAGCCTGTCAAAGTTGAGGAAGTAAAAAAGCCTGTCAAAGTAGAGGAAGTAAAAAAGCCTGTAAAAGTAGAGGAAGAAAAACAGCCTGTCAAAGTAGAGGAAGTAAAACAGCCTGTTAAAGTAGATGAAGTAAAACAGCCTGTCAAAGCAGAGGAAGTAAAACAGCCTGTCAAAGTAGAGGAAGTAAAACAGCCAGTTAAAGTAGATGAAGTAAAACAGCCTGTCAAAGCAGAGGAAGTAAAACAGCCTGTCAAAGTTGAGGAGGTAAAAAAGCCTCTCAAAGTAGAGGAAGTAAAAAAGCCTGTCAAAGTAGAGGAAGAAAAACAGCCTGTCAAAGTAGAGGAAGTAAAACAGCCTGTTAAAGTAGATGAAGTAAAACAGCCTGTCAAAGCAGAGGAAGTAAAACAGCCTGTCAAAGCAGAGGAAGTAAAACAGCCTGTCAAAGCAGAGGAAGTAAAACAGCCAGTTAAAGTAGATGAAGTAAAACAGCCTGTCAAAGCAGAGGAAGTAAAACAGCCTGTCAAAGCAGAGGAAGTAAAACAGCCTGTCAAAGTAGATGAAGTAAAACAGCCTGTCAAAGCAGAGGAAGTAAAACAGCCTGTCAAAGCAGAGGAAGTAAAACAGCCTGTCAAAGCCGAGGAAGTAAAACAGCCTGTCAAAGTTGAAGACGTAAAACATGCTGATGAAGATAAAAGAAACCAGAATGAGGAATTAGACAGGAAAAATTATAAATTTTCTTCAATAACCAACGATAAAGACCTGAAGATACATGCTGAACTCGACGAAGCTGATGAATTGTTTGAAAAGGTAAAAGTTTCTTTAGGAAGTAGTTTCTTTAATACCTGGTTGATATTAGGCATACAGAAAATTGTAATTTTTATACACCTTTAAGGGTTTGAATTAGTCTAGTGTTGTCACTAGCAATTTGTTTGAATAGCCAGGGGTGGAATGGACTCTATAGATGCACAAGTATGATGCTGCTAATCTGGGGAAGTAGGTAATCAAAACTCCCAATCTCTGAAGTTTAAAGAAAGCAGTCAACTTGGTGTTGTATTAAGAACAGGTAGACCTGGTACCCGGTACCAATGGCTGTATTCTTAACGTTTAAATCATGGCTGCCTGAATAAAATAAAGTTTTCACAGCAACTACAAGGTTAATTTTGGCCCGAAAAGAAATTAAATGATGAGCCGAATTATTGATTGGATTGTCTTATAGAGTTCCGATCTAATAGATAAAAAAAGTTTTTAATTTGTAACAGCTCAAAAAGTTTGATTTATTGACGATGTTTGGAATTTGAAGCAATTTAAATCTTTAAAAAGCAGAGTTTTGATTTAATGATTGCATTCTGAAGATTTTTTCATTTACTGTTTCCTAAATTGATTCAAAATGTCTTGTCATTACATGCAAATTATCAGGATAATTTATTGCATTACAAATTTTGTAGTGAAATTTGTATAATCTTATCTGTTAAAAAAAAATGAAAAGAAGGCTGTCTGGCTTGGGTTATTTCAAAGTACATGGTTACAATCAAGTCAAGAGCAAATGGCAATCATTCCCCCTGGACTATACTAAAGTAACAAAACTAAAAAAAACAAGAATTCATTAGATCCTTCCCAACCCCTCAAATGAAAAAAATTGTTACATCCATTTTTCAAATCAGGAAAATTACGAGGCAGCCGTTGCTAAATATGATCAGATTCTGATCAAGGAGCCTCTCAGTGCACGAGGTCACTACGGCAAGGGCCTGACCCTGGACAGACTTGGCTTTAAGTACATGAGCAATGACTACCTGGAGAAGGCGATTGATTTCATCGCCCGTGTGCTGGACCTGCCTGATGTCCCCGATGACCTGTACAAATTGGCGGCCCGTAAACTTGCAGACAGGCAGCAGTTCAGAGGTAGGGTACACTGGTCCGCATTCTGACAACTTGATCTATATCAGTAATGACACTGATTACTAAATGCTTATTTAAAACATTTTAAAGCAGAGGTCTTTAACCTTTTTTTTTGGCAGTGCCACACCCATCTTGATTTTAAAAAAATAAACTCCAGCACCCCCATCTCAAATTCAAATAAATATTTCCCGGCAACCAGAAACCTTGGAGTCACGCTTACGGACACCCTCTCCATGGACAAACATGTCACGAATATATGCAGATCAGCATATAACGAAATTAGAAAAATCAGCACCATTAGACACCTCCTCTCCTTTGATGCCACAAAAACTCTCGTCTCTTCACTCATTCTTTCAAAATTTGACTACTGTAACATTCTTCTCTCAGGCATTCCTCAACACCACATAGAAAAACTTCAGAAGGCACAGAACTCAGCATGCAGACTCATTTTTAAATTAAAGAAACATGACCACATTCAACCACACATGCGGCAACTCCACTGGCTTCCAATATCCTCTCGCATCAAATACAAGTCTGCCAATCTTTGCTTCAACTCGTTCACTGACCCTCACTTTCCTGTCTATCTCTCTGAACTGTTGCTTCCTTACATCCCCACAAGACAACTACGTTCTTCCATTGACAGTAGAACCCTCTCAATCCCAAGAACTAAAACTAAGACCATCGGTGAACGCTCCTTCTGCTTCCATGGGCCCACGTTCTGGAACCAGCTCCCCTTCCATATACGTCATAGTGAAACCTCGTCCATTTTCAAAAAGTCCCTTAAAACTCATCTGTTTAGGTCCGCCTATGACCTGTGATGCACCCTCCTTGCCCTACCTAATTTTCTGTTTCGGTTTAATCCTGAAGTGTCAAAGTGTCCTCTTTTTATAGCCATTTTCATTGTTTCTATAGAATAGTAGTTACTATCCTAGTGTCTCATTTGTATTTACTTAGTTTACATGTTTTAATAATTGTAAAGCGCTTAGAGCTTTATGATAAGCGCTATATAAAAATGCCTAAATAAATAAATAAATAAATAAATACAAGATGTCTAGATATGATTTTCTGTTAGTTTATACAAGCAGTGCATAGCTGAACCTGATAATGTTTGTCTTTATTCTTGTGTCTTTTTAACAAACAATTTTCACGTCATTTTCATGGGCAACAATTCAGCAGCTGTTATAAAAAAAATATCAGAGACACTGGTTTCCTATTAACATTAACAGTAGTGCTTCTCAGCCCTAGTATATCACAGCCCTTGTACTTCCAAGAATGATTACATCAGTTAAATATATTTGACATAGTTAATAGACAGGTTTGTGAGAAGAGTGGAGGAGAAAATATCAACAAGTGATGTGGAAGATAGAAATAGAGAAGACGGGGCAATAAAAAGAAGAACGTTTCGGCTAATAGTCTTCCTCTGCAGACAGGACAGATAAAGGAACAGCAAGAAACAGAAAATAACTTGAAAACTTAAGTGTTCGCCATTAATGTCATTGCCAGAAGTTGTAGTCAGGGCAACATTGTGTTTTTTGTTTGTTTGTCACCTACATGTTATGGAGCTTATTGGCAATCACCCACTAGTTCTTGACTTTTGTAGCAATCACCCAAATGTTATAGTTTGTCATTTTATCATTAGTCTATTGATAGAATTGAAAAAACTACTGACATGCTTTTGTATTTTTTCCAGGGTGGGGTGGACAGTCTGTGAAAACGTACAAGGCCTTGAGTAAAAAGTTTCCTGATGATTTAGCTATCAAGAATGAGTTTGGTGTGAGCTACATGATGATTGGTCAGAATGACAGAGCCAGGGACATATTCAAAGAAGTAGGCACCACTGTCATTTATTGTGAAATCCTCCGCCTTTCTGACAGTTGACCGAAAAAACGCGATCTTTTAATCATATTATGATGATCTAATATTTTAATATTTTTTTGTTTCATTCAGAAAATATACTTTACACAATACAGTAATATGTTGAATAGATGTTTAGGTTGAAAACATCAAGCTTCGGGAGGTGTGTGGTCAGAAAACAAAAAAGAAGGAAATCTTGGAAAGAAAATGAAGATGGATAAGAACATCCACAGGAAAGGCATCAACAACAGATCTAAACAGCCCCTAGATTGGAACCCCCATGGCAAATGATGCAGTGGAAGACCCAATAGAACACGGAGGCCCGGTGATAGGGCTGAGAGAACATGAGAGAAAGAGCTGGGAAGAACTAAAAATTCTGCTAAGAGAGAGTGAAAAAGGATCATCTAGTAACTCCTAAGAAAAATGATGATGATGATGTTGAATAGATGATCAAAACTTGTGTGAATCCTCAAATGTTTTTTTTGTGTGTTTTTTTTAATGCTGAAACCTACAACAATTTTTTTGATATTGAAGCCTGTGCACTTAAAAAAAAATGTTGATTGCTTATGCATGTATCCAAAGTTAATTATATCTTGAGTGCACATACATTTTTACAAAGTTAAATCTGTTTTATCCTGATCACTTTTAAAAACTCTATCCACAGGTCCTTGACAAAGATCCAGACAATGGGTTTGCCAAAGTTCACCTGGGTTTCATTTTCAAAACTAAAGACAACAACCTCGAGCTGGCGGTCAAGTACCTGAAGGAAGGCATAGATTCCAAAGAGCCTGGCACATCCGATGGCAGGTTTTACCTGCATCTGGGAGACTCACTGCAAAGGCTTGGTCAGGAGAGTGAGGTGAGTTTTCGCATTGGTTCCACAAGTCGGTCAGAGTTGACTCCCTTGGCTGTAATCAAATCAAATAAGCACTCCTAAAGTCAATATTGTCGTAAAGGAAGTGTGATTTGACTATATTTGAGTCTGATTTTTTTTATTGTGTGCGTGCTTGAGAAGTACATGAGACTTCTTAAGTTTAAATAGTTTTGAGATTAAAATTTATTATCTCAATAAGAATGTTTATCCTTAAGCTGAAAATGAATATGTACAATGTAATCAAAACATGTTTCCATTTATTTGGATTAAAAAAAAAAAAGAAGAATCTTATCATATCTTTGATATAAGAATATAAAAAGCTATTTACCAAAAGGGATGAAATGACCACCCATCCATCCCTGTGCCGCTACAGCCCATGTAGGGCTTTGGCCTGCCTCACCAATTTATTCCACTCAGACCTAACTGATGCTTTTCTTTTCCACTCTTGGATTCCTAGCTTATGCATATCTTTTTCCACATCATCCATCCATCTAAGCCCGAGGTCTGCCTTTGAGCTGTTTTCCTCTGGGGTTTCGGTGGTGCACCCTTCACTCCTCTGTCATTTGGCATTCTTTCTAACTGTCCTGCTCAGTGTAGCCTGCCCATTTTTATTTCTGCCACCAGCGTGAGATCCTGATGATATAGAATATACAATTCCTGGAGGTTTTTTTCGTATTCTCCATCCATATATTTTCCGGAAAACTTTTCTCTCCCATGACTTAACTATCAAACTTTATTTACATTTTCCCATCAGGCACGCCGCTACTTTGAGGAGGGTGAAAAAAAAGGTCTGTTTCTGTCTGCCTGGCAACGATCACTTTACAACGTTGATGGTTTGACCGGGCGGCCATGGTGGACAGCGGAACAAACTGGCTATCAAGAATATCTCACGGTACATTAAATCCTCTCTTTGTGTCTTGTCAGACCAAGGAAATTTTTTTTTTTTTTACGATGGAGAAGCTTCCCATTTCAAATTGTGGGCTGACCACTGAAGCAAATGTTAAATTGTCTTAAATTGCAAAGTGTGTGTTCACATAAACTTATGGGCTAGGGGAAATAGGGTATAGGGTTTCTGACCCAATGAAAGTTCTTCAATTAGGAATTTTTATAGGATCATCTCATTTTGCGTGAGGGTTAATCCTTGTAAAAATGTGACTGTCATTGACATATGTTTCTCTGTGTTTATCTGTCTGGTCTCCAGAATGAATCATTGTACAAAGTCATCAGTTATAAATAAACATCTGTTAAATAACTTCCACAGCTGCTGAAAAACAATTGGAAAACCATCAGGGATGAGGGTATAGCCCAGCTTGACTCCAAGACGGGATCTTTCTTACCAGAAGAGGAAAATCTTCGAGAAACTGGTGATTGGAAGCAGTTCACTCTGTATCAACAAGGTACATGGTTTGTTGCCATTGATTGTGTCTTGAAGTATGAAGGTGTTGGTAGTTTTGTCATAATGTCTCTGTTAGTGCAGACATGGGCCTCTTTGGGGTGCCTTTCCAGGTAGCTTGAGACATGGATTGAGACTCTTGGAGTCTGTTTTCTGCTTCTGTTGCCCTAAACTTAGTTTCGAAGACAGACTTAAAAAAGTAAAGTCATTAAAATGGTTCATTTTCCTATTTTGCATAGGTCGCAAAAATCCTGATAATTGTGCCAAAGCGCCCAAGACGTGTGCACTGATTGACCAGATACCAGCTGCACATGGATGCAAGCGGGGACAGGTTTGATTTTGTTGTTGTCAAAATCATTATTGTTTTGTTAATTTAGATCGGTGGGTCTCAACCATATTGCTGCACAGCCCCGGGGGTGTGGGACGTCCCAGAAAATCAGTTTTATTTGCATTTTATTAACATTTTTATCATAGGAGTGCTTGAAAAATGTTTTGATCATTCAAATCGATATTTGGGTTCGAGAGATTTTTTGAAATCAAGAGGAGGTGCAAAAGGGTTAAGAACCTTGGTTTAGTTGAAAATAAAACTCCATTTTTTTCATTGAGTAAATCAAATTTTAACTTTTATTTAGGTTACAAAACACAAAATTTGGAAAAAACATTTAATTTCAGATTGGTTTTATTCATAAGACAACATGAGTTGTCATTCTGAGAAATAAATATTTAAAAATAACAAATATTGGTGTAAATTTATATGAATGTTAATTTTCCTTTTATGGTTTAATCTTTTTTTAAAGAATATTTTAGATATTAAAAATCACATGTAGATATTACATTCAGATTCAAATATTTAGTTATAAAATTGTGTGAAAAAATTATGAGAATTTGACAATGTCCTTGTCCTTCAATAAAAGTTTGTTTTTTTAAAAAGAGAAAGTTATTGAGTAAATAAAAGTTCTAGTTGTACCCTGTTATCGCTCTGTGTGGCATATAAATAAGGTACAGGACAAGTATGCTGGCAGTTCGGAGTTCATATCTCGGCAACATAAAATGTCTGAACGCCCCCCCCCCTTTTTTTTTCTCTATCTATGGATGTTAACATGTTAACAAAAGTAAAAATCAAATGTGTTGGGTCATCTTGTGGCACATAGATAGCACCAAGATGTACTGTAATATCCCTCCCCAAAAAACTGCCCAGAAACTGAAAAAATCGGAACAAGAAAACAAAAACAATTCACCTTTCAAATACAATGTGCAAACCAACAATGGCTTGTGCTTTTAAAATGTATAAGTACAGGAAGTGTTGACTAACCATCCACTATTTTTTTTTTTAAAGGTCAAGTTTTCTGTAATGAGTCCTGGCATCCATGTGTGGCCTCACGTTGGTCCAACTAACTGCCGAATCAGAGCTCACCTTGGTCTGGTGGTACCTGAAGGTCCAGTTATACGCGTTATGAATGAAACTAGGTTCGTCTCAACAACCTGATAGTTATCATACAAACTAAACTCCCAAAGTTAAAGCCTTGTACATAGACCATCATACAAACCCAACTCCCAAAGTTAAAGCCTTGTACATAGACCATCATACAAACCCAACTCCCAAAGTTAAAGTCTTGTACATAGACCATCATACAAACCCAACTCCCAAAGTTAAAGCCTTGTACACAGACCATCATACAAACCCAACTCCCAAAGTTAAAGCCTTGTACATAGACCATCATACAAACCCAACTCCCAAAGTTAAAGCCTTGTACACAGACCATCATACAAACCCAACTCCCAAAGTTAAAGCCTTGTACACAGACCATCATACAAACCCAACTCCCAAAGTTAAAGCCTTGTACATAGACCATCATACAAACCCAACTCCCAAAGTTAAAGCCTTGTACATAGACCATCATACAAACCCAACTCCCAAAGTTAAAGCCTTGTACACAGACCATCATACAAACCCAACTCCCAAAGTTAAAGCCTTGTACATAGACCATCATACAAACCCAACTCCCAAAGTTAAAGCCTTGTACATAGACCATCATACAAACCCAACTCCCAAAGTTAAAGCCTTGTACACAGACCATCATACAAACCCAACTCCCAAAGTTAAAGCCTTGTACATAGACCATCATACAAACCCAACTCCCAAAGTTAAAGCCTTGTACATAGACCATCATACAAACCCAACTCCCAAAGTTAAAGCCTTGTACATAGACCATCATACAAACCCAACTCCCAAAGTTAAAGCCTTGTACATAGACCATCATACAAACCCAACTCCCAAAGTTAAAGCCTTGTACATAGACCATCATACAAACCCAACTCCCAAAGTTAAAGCCTTGTACATAGACCATCATACAAACCCAACTCCCAAAGTTAAAGCCTTGTACATAGACCATCATACAAACCCAACTCCCAAAGTTAAAGCCTTGTACATAGACCATCATACAAACCCAACTCCCAAAGTTAAAGCCTTGTACATAGACCATCATACAAACCCAACTCCCAAAGTTAAAGCCTTGTACATAGACCATCATACAAACCCAACTCCCAAAGTTAAAGCCTTGTACATAGACCATCATACAAACCCAACTCCCAAAGTTAAAGCCTTGTACATAGACCATCATACAAACCCAACTCCCAAAGTTAAAGCCTTGTACATAGACCATCATACAAACCCAACTCCCAAAGTTAAAGCCTTGTACATAGACCATCATACAAACCCAACTCCCAAAGTTAAAGCCTTGTACATAGACCATCATACAAACCCAACTCCCAAAGTTAAAGCCTTGTACACAGACCATCATACAAACCCAACTCCCAAAGTTAAAGCCTTGGACATAGACCATCATACAAACCCAACTCCCAAAGTTAAAGCCTTGTACATAGACCATCATACAAACCCAACTCTCAAAGTTAAAGCCTTGTACACAGACCATCATACAAACCCAACTCCCAAAGTTAAAGCCTTGTACATAGACCATCATACAAACCCAAATCCCAAAGTTAAAGTCTTGTACATAGACCATCATACAAACCCAACTCCCAAAGTTAAAGCCTTGTACATAGACCATCATACAAACCCAACTCCCAAAGTTAAAGTCTTGTACATAGACCATCATACAAACCCAACTTTCAAAGTTAAAGTCTTGTACACAGACCATCATACAAACCCAACTCCCAAAGTTAAAGCCTTGTACATAGACCATCATACAAACCCAACTCCCAAAGTTAAAGTCTTGTACATAGACCATCATACAAACCCAACTCCCAAAGTTAAAGCCTTGTACATAGACCATCATACAAACCCAACTCCCAAAGTTAAAGTCTTGTACATAGACCATCATACAAACCAAACTCCCAAAGTTAAAGCCTTGTACACAGACCATCATACAAACCCAACTCCCAAAGTTAAAGCCTTGTACACAGACCCTTCAAAACCCTTTTAAAAAAAAAAAAAAAAAAACCTAAGCAAAATTTGAGATTTTTAATTTTAATAATTGTTTGTAAAATCTTTGCCTTTAAGGAGTCTGATTATTATTTTTTAATCCCAAAAATTGAAAAATCATGCAATCAGATATCTCAGTTCTGAGGATTACCCCTAGCAGTGAACGGTGTAAGTTCAGTAAAACTCATATATATATATTTTCCAAAGAATAATGTCTTTTATAAAAGGTTTTTTCAGATAAGAACGGAGAAGTAAGATATTTTTCACATAGAAGGACAATATTATATTCTTTATATTTGTTTAGGATATATTTTTTCATAAATTAACTTATTACTTAACTATGAAAAACCTTTACATAATTTTTTATCCTCTTTTTAAACATGAAAGAGAACAAAATAACCTTAAGGGGTGGTGCTTTAAAGAAATGTGTAACTTGCCACGTTTTTCATTTTTAAAGAAAAAACATGAGAAATGCAACCACAAAAGTATTTTTGCCAAAAAAACTTATAACGGTTAATATATTCTTGTTTTCACCTGCTTAAAAGTTTGATGATTTCATCTATTCTTCCATCTAGGACTTGGAAAGAAGGTGAGTTCATCATATTTGATGATTCCTTTGAACATGAAGTCTGGCACGAGGGCTCTGAACTCCGTTTGGTCCTGATCGTGGACTTCTGGCATCCTGAGCTGACGGAACAGCAGAGGAGACGACTATCATCCATTTAATTCATTAAAGCTGCACATAGCTTTTTTTGCAGAAGCAGTACAGTGACAATTCACAAGATGAACCAATGCATGCTCTTTTGTGTAAGAAAATTTAATTCTATTTATCTTTTTCTTTCGCTAATTGAGCCAAGATTATATTTACAATTGTAGTAAATCATTCTGTTAGGACAGCACACTGCAATTTTAGTTATCTGTAATTAAAGCCTGCACTAAATTTGAGCTCTTTCAATTTTTGTGAACTGAAATAATTATAATTTTTTTTTTTATCTATCTGGTTTGTTTTTTTCTCTATGTAATAGTTTTGTACTTTTTCTTTTGATTCTATAAATGAGATTTAAACCCATTGTTGTTATCTGATCAGTTTTATTGATGCATAAATAAATGTTTTAAAAGAAATCATTGTGATGAATATAAATGAATATAGTGTTCAAGTATTTGAGTAGAATCCGAGTGATAGATTTTGAATAACGCTGAATGAATATAATGCTGATGTACCAGTCGTCAAGTTGAACTTTGGTAACATGGTACACAACTCTCCCCTACCACTTTATACATTTTTTGTGTGATTTACCAGTTATTGAATAAATAATAATGATAGTTAATAATAGTATTCTCTAGTTTGAATTGGATTCAGTAGAGTTTTAAGTCATGCCTTTTAAAAGACTTTAAAACACAATTTTACTTTTACCCACCCATTTCTTTACATATTACTAAAAGCAATCATTTAAAGAAAATAAGTTTAATGGAATTAATTATTTTTCATGCAAATTTACTCATGTCTTCAACTTTTTTTTGTTGAGGATACATACCACGTAATGGTAACCCTCTGCATTGTAAGTAAGTAGTGCTAGTATTTTAATATTTATCTTTAAAAAAAAAAAAAATTGAAAACTTACCCAAATGAATGTTTCTAAGATTTTTATGAACAAAGCCAATGAATAATTCTAGGAGTTTTTTAGATTGACTCCACTCTATGAGGTCACTGATACTTGACATAAGTTTAAATGATACTTGATGTAAGTTTAAATGAGGAGTGTGAAAAAATATGATTTTTTCCTGTCATTTCAACCATGTTGAGTTTGGTGGAGGAAGCAGCATGATCAATGTGTTCCGCTATGTTACAAATAATTTCCAATGATGGGTTTTATTTATGCCTAACAAAATAAATGTGAGAGCACACATGAGGATATCAGTCTTGTTAAAGGATTCAAGAATAATAATATAATAGTTATTTAAAATTATATATAAATATATATGTTATTATTATATATAGTTATTTTATACAACAAAATTAAACAAAAAAATTATCAATTGTGTTGGCGATGAAAAAATGTTAGTCAATATTTTCTTTACAGGGAATTCATGTTTAAAAAAAAAAAAATATATATATATATGCTTATTTTTTTAAAATTACATCTGGTGATGCAGAATATAATACATAACTGTGTCACTATGATGAGGATCTTCTTCACTTTAACCTCAACAAATATTATATCAAATATGAATAGAAAGTGGCAATGTAATACCACCAACCTTCACAGCTGTGTATTGTTGACAGGATTTACTGCTGATGTTGTTCAAATCTCATTATCAATGTTACCATCATGATTTTTTTAAATTTTTTTTACTGACAATGTTGTTTTAAGTTTAAGTGTTAATTTTAGAGATGTGAGGATTTTATGAGTGATTAGAGATATTTCATTATTAAGAGCCTGTCAGCTGTTAAATTAATGAAGTATATTTTTGTTTAATTAAACCATAATTTTTTACATTTTTTAACATTTTCTAATCTAGAAGCCATATCATTGTACAATTTATCAGTCATTGGGAACTAATTTACAAATCTGTGAACTGAGAATTTATTTTTTATGGAATTTGATAAAATAATGTTCTTCTTTTTTTTTTTGTGAGGAACTTATTTTTAGCAATATACTTTTCTTTTTAATTTATATCAAGTACTGTGTTTAAAAAAAATCTGAACTATTTTGAGGATCACACAATTTTTGTTTTCCCTTTATCAAACTATAATCAACGAAATGGCTCTCTGAAATGGGAATAAAGAAACATGGCATATTGTAATATCTGCAATTATAATGAGGATGTAATGTGCAATTAAAAAATTAATGCTTTAATTTTTTTTTTTAAACTGTATCACTGAGCAAACATCAATTACTAATGATCAAACAATTTTTTTATTGAGATTATCCTGAAAGCCGCTCTGATGGACTTCTTGTTTGATCAAGAGATTTTGGCAAGTGTTTGGCCTATAGAATCACTTTTATTTTTCGATGAAGTTTTATTATCGATGAAGTGAGTATTATAAGGCCATGTGATAATTCTTTTTTTTTTTTTTTTTTTAATAAAAAAAATTATTTTTTTTTTTATTTTTTAAAAAAATCAATCAAATTTTTTTTAAATTGTACATTTCTTATAACATCATAACTTGACAGTAATTGGTGTCATTCAACATTTTTAGCGCAGTTCTGTGCAGACGCTAAGTCATTAATGAAAAGAACTGGTCCATGACTGAAAGTCTATACTGCCTCTGATGCCATTTTAGGATGCATGTTTTTCAAACATACCAATAAATTGTAATATGTTCGATTAGTTTGAATGCTATTCTTCCAGCCCCTTGTGTGAGAACTGCTAGTCTACTGTAACTTTTGGCTGCCTGCTTCAAACAAAGTATTTATTGCATTGAAAAGAAATGAATGTTTTCGTTCAGTGATCATATCTTAACAATTTGTTTACCCTTAAATCAAATTGTTCAGCACCTCAAAATTATTTTGAATTTTACACGAGTGTTTTAATTGCTTTACAGTATGTATAACCCTATTTATAAAAAAACAGCTTTTCTTTTTCTATTGTTTTGTTGATCAATGAAATGATAAAATGATTTCATCATGGAGCAAAATATGCCACATTCACTTAGAACAATGAAATATTTTCTCCTCATTTCCTTCTACCCAACCTGAAGGCATTCTCTCCCCTTTATTGCCATTACTTCCCTCTATTATTATGTTCACTTCTTGAAATTTGTAGCCATACCCTAACTAACTAACTGACCACTTGTTGTGACATCTTGGTTCCAAATATTTATAAACATGAGCGTGTGTGACATCTGCTTGTGAAGAAAAGCCACTAGTTTCAAGCACAGAAAAAAACTTACATGAAATATTTTTTATTCTTTATTTTAATTTGAGTGATTAAATTTTATAACCTTTTTACGAACAATTTTTAAAAATGATGATGTCTGTTTAATTATACCTCTACACATGGCACATGTTCATTACATCTATAGATTCATTCATATTGCTCTTCTTATTTGTATTGACTTTATATGAACTGAAATTGTTAATTCATTGGATTGCCAGTAAATAAATAAGTTTAAAACAAAGCAAATGGCTTTTTTTTCTTCTTCTTATTCCGTCAGCTTGTGAAGACATTTTTGCCAGTCTGATATGGAATTTTAAAAAAATGAATTTGTGAGGCCTTGATGGTGCCCCCCTTCCTATTTTGTTGATCTCATCTTCGTTTGCGCTGTCAAACATAAGTTACAAAGTAGTTGAAGGTACCTAGAAAAGCTTGGACATGTGGTCTGTTTATTGCATTGACCTACTTTAACATTGTAATTTGAAAACACTACAAACATTACAATATAAACTCTTAGCAGCAATCTAGTGTCCTCTTTCTGCACTCTCAGCCACTACATAAGTGTTTGAATTTTTATGTGGATTTTTACTGTGGTTGGTTCACTGCAGAAGGCTTCTTGCCGACACGTTCATTGCTTTACTGCATCCTTTTTAACAGGGTTTCCCATACTTTTTTTCACTTATTTTCTTCTAACTAACCTGATTGCGTTCTCTCCCACTTATTACCATTCTTTGTTGAAGGTCTGAAAATCATTTGAATATACCTAACACACAGGTTCACAATAATAATAGTTAATACTTGAACTTGAAATACGAGCAAATACTCATGCTGAACATACTGATCCGAATACTGATCCGCTTGGAATATAGCTTCTCTGTAAACTTCTCTACTTCATAAAGATATCACTATGACCAAATCTTATAACATAATATGGACTTAATAACCGCCACCATTTCATCTCCATCTTTGTTCTTCTCCGATTTGTTGATTTTTACCAAGTGCCCATACTCTATATATTATTAGTGATAATTCTCAGATTACTTAACTCCCTTGTAAATCATTATCTCGTATCTGTGACAATATATAATGCCCCATGATCATGTGGCAGTAATTTGGCCCCAGGTATAGAGATATATTTACATAATCCCCTAATAATCATGTTAAACAAGTTGTGCTAAGTGAAGTGACTAGTTTCAACTCAGTTGAAAATTTAAAGTTGAACTATTGGCAATATAAATTAAACACGTTATATCAGGTGAGAAGCAACTTTGTTAATGAACAGTCAATTTGATGCCACGATTTTTTTTAACAATCAAATCAAGCTACTGTAAGTTTTTGTTTAACTTTGCTCTTTGATGGTGTGTCAAAAAAGTTAGAAATAGAATGCGTGGAGCATCACAAGATCTGCTCAGATGATGCACTTCACCATATCAGCTTCACTTTATCACAATAATTAATATAAACTAGACCAGATCACAAGATCACCTTCACTATAACCCAAGATCAGCTCCTCTAGTTTGTTCCACATCACTGTACCTTAGCATGTCACACCATAGCAATCTTTAACATTAGAATTAATTTGTCCCATTCCTTAATCAGGAGCCACAACTGTAGTGTGGATGAAGTGGGAAAAAGTTTTTATAAATTTCTTTTATCTTTTCCCTTATTCTATTCTTAGAATCTGAACACTGCCATTTTTAAAATTGCGTTAGGATAGCATACTAATACTTAATCCCACGCCAGTCAGCTGATAGGCCTCTAGGTTGAGTCATGGAGGATTTTTTATCAGAGTTGATTCCATCACTTTAACTTTAATTCATGTTTAAATTACCCTTAAAAAGTTTGCTTATAAATCCTTCATAAAATTTAATATCGAGCAATGGTGTGTGGGTCTGAAAATTTGACAAAACATGCATACAAATACAAGTTAAAAGTAATGCACTTTAAAAGAATCCCAATTAGTGCGCCCCCCCCCCCCCACCTGGCTCACAAATTTTTTTCACACCTCTGAATATATTTAATTTTCTAATGACCCACTCGCCTTTACACCACAGATTTATTTCAGTAAAAAAAGGAAAACATGACTTTTGGGGGTTGGGGGGGGGGGGGGGGCTGAAAATTTGATAGAAGGCGTTTTCATCAGCACTGATTTTATGTGCCAAGCTTAAGCTCAATAGGCTGATGGCAGTGAGTTAATTAACCATCCGAAGATTTTGCCTGCAACCCAGCTAGCCACCAACGAACAAAAGTGAAGTTAATATAGCATTCAAAAACTGTTAGATTAATTGTTTGTTCGGCTCATTTGTATAACTATAAAATATTGAAATCCAATATTTGTTTTGACTAACAAATGTTACTTTTCATTCTGTCATAATATATATTTATTCCAATAAATCATTATCTTTAACAAGGTTAGTATTTTAAACAATGAAGGAATTAAACTTTGTGTCATATTTTTTATACAGTTTATAGGTTTTATTTCTTCATTCCTTCAATTTAAATTACTTCTGGTTGTGGAGATAACACACAAGGAAATATTACAAATATATAGAACCGACTTTCTGCCTTAACTCACTCCCGACGTTTGCGACTAAATGCGTCCTTTACGGGTTTCGCCGGATGCGTCCCGCCGCATAGCGACACACCTCTCTCATATCTATTTAAAAATAGCAATGAAATCTCGCATCCCTCGAGACTTCCGGTGATGGCATGGTTCAACGTGACATTTAAAAACCGGAAGTTTTTATCTTGTTTCACTTTAAAGCTATGTGTGCTTTAGTATGGCGCGTCTATATGTAGCATGTGTTCGTCCGAGGTGCTGAAAATCGATTTTTTGGCCATTGTTCGTTATTTTTTTACCCGCTAATGTTATATTTATATTAAACCTTATTCATTCTTTGATGCATTTGTTCTTAATCCGTTAACATTTAATAATATTTAGCAGCTTAAATAAATATTTTACAAATGTAAATCAATTGCAAGACGGAGTTACTTACCTTTCTCAGGCAAATAAATTAAATACGGAAGTAGCATTGCAGGAGGGAATGAGTTAATTAAACTGAAAGTGGTGAATTATTTCCCACATAAAACTGATGGTTAAACAAAACACACAACGTAAAGTTAATGGAAATCTGTGAATATATGTTTATCATTATCAGAGTGTCTTGCAGAAATCGTAATATTCATTCACATCACATTTAGCAATTTTCTGACAAAATTCTTCATCAGGACCCGATCCTAAGGCTTTGAGGGGTACAAAGTTCTCCAAACATGGGTCATACTGGGCTTGCCCACGGGACAAAAGAAACAGGTGCCTGTTCTTGAAAATAAAAACTCTGGTCAACAAAATTCCCGGCCAACTCAAGATCTGTTGATGTGTAATCATCATGGTGTTGTGAAGGTAATCAAAGGATTTTACAAGCTGGTATTTGCCTGGGGGTAAAAGAGCAACAGTGGACATTTATTCAACTTCAACTGACATAAATAGACTTTCAAAGACAAAAAATGGGAACAACTAAGCTATTTTTAAAACAAAGAGGTAAAATGGATAATTTTAAAAAAAAAATGTATTAAATCGCTATTATGCCTATAACATGAAATATCGGGTGCACATTGACCCAGATCTAACAAGCTCAACATCAATCCTTACTGTATAAGAAAACTTTGGGCTCCTTCAGGATCACCTCCTTCAACTCAGGATTGGTGAATCCAATGAACTCCTTCACATGGAAGCGTACGTCCTGTGGAGGGTCACACCAATAATAGAGCAGGAGTTAATGGACAAGAGGAAGGCAAAAATCTGATCAGTGTTGTCCCTCTAATGTTACATTTAAAAGGGATTTGACCTCCCATTCAATGAATACAGTTTTGAAATCCAGCCATGCTTCTAAAAGATAAGAGTCTTTAAAACAAACACAACAAGATACTCATTCAACCCAAAAATGATGCTTCATTGAAGAATTCATGTCAGCACAGAGTAGCAGTCTTTTCATTTTAGAATACATGTGTCTCACAATAAAGCATTATTTTGTTCTTGTTTTTCCTCCTGAATTTAAAGTCTTATCATTGACTTCATATTCTTAAATAAATTAATAATATCATGTAAAAATGAATAGAGGAGTTTCAAACACTTAACATTCTTGTACTTCGTCTTACTTAGATAAAGCGTTCACCTGGCTTGTATACACAGATAGCTTATGTCTTTTAATATACTTGTAAGTTATATTAATCAGCCAAAAATGACTGAATTTCAGGTTGACATCAAGGCATTCAACATTCATCTCAACAAATAAACCATTTTCTTTCACAACAAGATGACATGGGAGAATTTTTTTGAACTTACTGCAATCAGCTCTCGCCTCCATGTTAATATTTTGGGTAAGGTCAAAGCAACATGCCTCACTTCACTACCTGGTTTAAAATCATCTCAGTTAACATCATATCCATCCATAGTAGAAAAAAAATGAAAACTCAACACACATAAAATCTCCTATCCTGTAGTTTTTGTAGCACTAAATAAATAAATAGGTTTAAATTTAAAGTTCTTCGCTATCATTGACATCAACAGACTCTAATAAAACTAACCACGACTTATCAGATGGACTCTACTTAAACTAAGCAAAACATACCAGATAATTGAAAAGCATTTTGCAGAAATCCAAGTTTCTCATCCACCTTGTAAGGATCCATCAAAAGAACAATGGGGGATCTTATGACCATGGACGCAACATCGTCCAAAGAGAAATTTTTACTTAAAAGATAGCTGAAGAAATGTAAAAAAAAAAAAAAAAAAAAAAAAAAAAAAAAAAAAAAATAAAAAAAAAAAAAAAAAAAAAAAAAAAAAAAAAAAAAAAAAAAAAAAAAAAAAAAAAAAAAAAAAAAAAAAAAAGAATAGTTCAGTCATGTGGTACAATCAGAGTAGTTTCAATAAACTTCAAGGCTCAACAGCTGTTTCTATATTAACACCAAAAAAGATAACAAAGCTAATAAAAAGTATGCAACTCCTATGTATGTTGGATTACACATTTGTCAGCTTTTCTTCCTTTAGTTTGGAGTTTCTTAACATTTCTTAACCCTTTACGGGGCAGAGGTACTTCCTCTTGCATGTCCTGAACGGGCACCACTTTTCCGTTTTTTAGTAAAATGTAGCGTTACGTTACAAAAAAAATCAAATCTAAGGTTTTAGTCAACAAATTTGTGTGAAATAAAAAGCAAAATAAAGGAAAATGAATGCAGATTTATGATTGTACTCACATTTTGCCATTAATCCTTATATGAACACAAATATTTGCAAAAACAACATATTGTTTGTGATTGTGAGTCATCTATTTACTATTTACAAACACTGCCACAAAATAGAAGTTTGTAAAATTCAACACTGCTTACTACGCTGATTTCACTAATATTACTAATAATATAAACATCTAGTTCCAATTTACAGTCAATTCGTGCACTTAAATGTCACTTTAATTGAATCCAGCGAAATCTCCGCTATCACTTGAATAATCGGCAAATAATCGGCAAAATCCATTTCGAAAATTTTTTTTTTTTAAACCACTAAAACTAAAAAAAAAATCGATTAAATACTTGTAACTGGCGCCTACTCTATTTAGCTATCGGAAAAACCGGATGTAAACAATAGGAAGTCTCGGAAAGCCTCGAAGGTCACGAGAAAACAACACTAAGTCGTCACGGACGCTTTTGGGCGTTTTGCCCTTTAAGTGGTAAAGACGTTTTCGGCCGCTCTGGCCCGTAAAGGGTTAATTCATGGAACCCCTTTACCAATCAGATAAAGGCCACAGATGCCATGTTATAATAAAGTCTCTAAATGAATATAAATATAATAAAATTACAAATGAAATCCACCTCATGAACCTTCATAAGCTTTTCACTGACTCTTAAGAGGTACATGGGCCACAGGATAAGAACCCTTGCTTAAGTTTGTAGACAAATCAACGGATGTCATTAATGATATGTAAAGCAAATGATGTTCTAAATTAGTAAGTGGAGCAATCCATTAAAAGCTATTGCACTGCGCTTCTGTGGTTGACCAACAGGGTTGACAAACACAATCTCACAAAATAACAGATAAGTCAAGGCATTTCAGCGACACTAGTTTAAATATAACAGCTTACAAGAGATGAACTGTAGCTTCAGAAAAAAAAAAGTGTGTGTCCAGCTATGATGACGTAAAGAGGCCACGGCACAGAAAAACAGAGAACCCACAGACAGTTATGACGGAAGTAGCAGCTACAAAGAGGTGGCATTTCTCCACAATGTATCCAACACCAATCTGGGATGAGGGCAGAATTAGGGAATTGGGATGCACTTAAGTAACAACTTTGATGAAAAATGATAACGAAAATAGATCTTACCCAACACGCAACTCTAAAGATGCAATATTTTCCTTAAACAGCAATGGATTCTTGGTGAAAATATTACCAACAGCCTCCGGAGGAACTCCAATTTGTCTTAGGAACTTCAGAAATGGGACAATGTCTTTTTGGAAGTTATATTTTATTAGCAGCTCTGGAATACCCTCTACCTGTTAAGAAAAAAATTTAAAATGATATTTTTAGCTCTATTTCTTCAACATAAACTTGGAGTAACTGAGGGAGAAAATCTAAAAGCCTAATTTCAATAAGGGGTACTGGCTGATTTGCACATTAAGCTTATTGGCTTATATATGGAAAGAATATCGTTTAAGCCTACAGAGGGTGGCCAGGTAGTGGAATTAGACGTTAAAAGACTAGCAAACAAAAAGACTTTTGTTTAAACCCCAGTCATATGGGTTCTGGCACAACACTGTGAGCAACATATTAAACCAAGGACAACAAAGCCCACCCATTAAAATCAAGAACAACAAAAGCCCAACCGTTCAAACCAAGAACAACAAGCCCAACAGTTCAAACCAAGAACAACAAAAGCCTAACAGCTCAAAACAAGAACAACTAAAGCCCAACAGTTCAAACCAAGAACAACAAAAGCCTAACAGTTCAAAACAAGAACAACTAAAGCCCAACAGTTCAAAACAAGAACAACAAAAGCCCAACAGTTCAAAACAAGAACAACAAAAGCCCAACAGTTCAAACCAAGAACAACAAAAGCTCAACAGTTCAAACCAAGAACAACAAAAGCCCAACAGTTCAAAACAAGAACAAAAGCCCAACAGTTCAAAACAAGAACAACAAAACCGAACAGTTAAAACCAAGGCAAAGGAAAGCCACCAGTTCAAACCAAGGCCAGGGCGACCCACTAGTTCAAACCAAGGTCAAGGAAAGCCAGACCCTACAAATCAACCATGTAACAGTAAAGATTGATGGCTCTGCTCAGGTAGCCAACATGACAATGAATTTCAAAGAAAATTTCAAGTGCCAAGTTGTTAAGTTTCAATTTTTTCAAGTGTACAAAATGTGATTCAGTGGAATTATTTGAATTGCAATTAGACAAAGCCGACGGTGAACAACACACGAAATAACCTTGACAAGACATGTACCTGCTGAATCTTATCTAAGCTAACACCTAGCCTAACCAGGCCCTGGAGCGTTGGAGATCTCTTAACATATGGCACAATGTTGAGGGAAGATCTTGATAACTCAGCCAGGGACATTTCATCAACTGATCGTCTTTCAATGACATCCCTCTCAGACTCTTAAAACGAATAAGTCACAAATGATTCAATAAAATTTATTTATTTGAAAAACACAACAAAAAGTATTAAAGCATTAACGGTATTATAATATTCACTTTTTATTCACGGCTATAAAATTTTTAAAATGTTATATTAAGAGGGAATACGTTACAACAAAGCTACTTACCTCTTTCACGTCTTAATATCTGGGGTCGAGTAAATTCATTTTGGACATTCCTTGCAAAATGCCGTGGTTTAAAATTTGTAACTGAAGGTACATTTGAGTTTTTTGTACCTTCTTCCTCACAGACTTCTCCCCCTTTCTTTTGATGTAGCAATGGGTTTTCTTGCACTTCATTGCCTTCAAAACTTCTCTGTTTTGTTTGACCCCTGTAATGCCTAACACAAGTAACAGTCTGATCTTTGAAACAATCGTAGCTTCTTCTGTTAGAATTAAGTTCTTTAATTAATATTCTGTGCCATGGAAAGAGGGAATTTTTAGAGGTGAAACCATCAGTAGTATTTCCATTAAATCTATTGCATTTTCTCAAATGTTCTAAACATGAGGATGATGATTTTACTTTAAGGAACTTGGTTTCAGTGTTGGAGTGTCCTTCATCATTTGCTTTCCATTTTTCAGGCAATCCCATGGCACAGATTGTCCTAAATATTTGGCTAAAATTTAAGTGAGGTATTGAATGAGCTTGAAGGCAACATCTTCTACAGCTCCCACATTGCTTCTGCACAGCAAAAACACATTTTGTAAGCCTAAGTTGCAGAACTAGGCCAGTAAGACTTGACATCCTCTAGTTAGATTCTGAAACAAAATGAGTTATTCAAAAATTGAATGAATAATTTGTAACTGACCATCTAATTATTTAAATAATTAAAATAGTATTCATATACAAAACCAGTACTAAGGCAAAATTTTAGCACCTAACCTAAAAAATTAGAGTTAAAATTAGTTATAGCTTATAGGTCTACACCAGGCCTGCACAACTCAAAATGTGAGGCGGGCCATAACACTTCATGAAAAACTTGTGCGGTCCAAAACAAAATAGGACCGCAAAGTGGGGGGGGGGGCTATTAAGAAAACAATAACTATGAAGAATATTTCTTTACGTACGAAGTAAATTTAATGTGAAATATAGCATCGTTTTTAGGTTACACGTTTGTCGCATTCAGGAGATATGTTGGAAGTGGCTGTTTTTAAGATGGGTTCCAAATTAATGATCATCACACAAACATGAGCGTGGTATTAATATTCAGTATTGAAAATGTCCGTTCACATAGATAAGTGTTTCCAAACACACTAAAATTTGTTAGTCCACCTTCGTAAAGATTCGGGCACTTCTCAGATTTTGATAAAACTCCTGCAGGCTGCTTTCTCTGTGCTTGCTTCGGTAAATTTCCAAACATTGTAGTTTGATAAGCTCCAGCTGCAAGTAAACTGGTATGTTTTCGGGATTCACAGGAAATGGATCTTCAATTAGTTCAAACTGAAGTTATTCTTCTTTAGAAAGAGTGAGTCTTTTATCAGATTCTTTTATCAAAAGGTTAATTTCATTATCAAATTGTTTTCCTAACTTGATGTGCTTGTCCTGAGGAAAATGATTTTTAGAAGTGACTCCTTCCACCATTTAATAACTGGGTTTTGAAAAGTTTCATATTCAGTTTAAAAGCTTTATTGCTGCAAACATTCCAAATACAAGTTGTTGCTTACCTTAAAGTTGAACGTTAAGGTCATTTAGGTGTTTTTCTTTGATATCACAAATGAAGAAGAGGTCATGATTCTAGGAGCCATCTTCAAACTCAGGGAATTCCTTTGCTTCGTCTTCTAGGAATTTAGATATTTCCTTATTTAAAGCAACGAATCGTTGAAGCACTTTCCCTCTGCTTAACCATCTCACTTCTGCTTGGTATAGTATGTCTCTGCAGTCGGCGTCTATATCTTCAAAAAAAGTATGAAAAGCCCTATGTTTAAGTCCTCTTGATCTTATGTAGTTGACTCTTTTAACAGCAACCGACATAACATATTCCAAGTGTAACACCTGGCTACACAAGGCCTCCGCGTGTATAATGCAATTGTATTTTGTTATTTGCCTTCGAATAAAATTTTCAAAATCGCAACTGCTCTCTTATTAACACCCGTCATATTCCGGGCACCAGCGGTGCAAATGGCCACTAATTTTATAAAATCTAATCCCAAGTCATCTTTCAAGCAATTTATCACTTCATTAAGGATATCTTTTCTGGTTGTGCGATGTTACATAGAACACATTCCTGCCAGTTCTTCTGTAATTTCACAGTTTTTGTCGACACCTCTAACGAAAATTAGAAGTCGAGCGATGTCTTTTAAATCTGTGCTTTCGCCCATAGCTAGAGAATTAAAAAAGAATATTCACAAGCTTCATGCTTTAACAGTTCTTTAAGATTGGTGGAAATACAGGTTTTTTTTTTCTTTGCAGTGTCATTTGCCATAAACTGATGTTCTTAAATAACACTGTTTTTTTCTGGACATAATTCAGACGTGGCAATTATCATGCACTTCTTTACAAATTTGCCTTCAGCAAAGGATTTCCCAGCAGTAGCAATTTCCATTGAAATATAAAAGCCAAAACTTGGTAGCAGTCTCATAGTCACTGTTCTTTTTCTTGAAAAATGTCTGCTCTCCAGTAAGAGTTTTCGATAGATTCGCTGCTTTAATGGATTTTTCATGTTGGTCCCTTTTTGACAAATTAGGGCGTTTAGATTCAAAATGCCGGCAAAGATAAAACTCTTTCGGTGCAGCAACTATGTCAGGACATACGAGGCACAGTATTTTTTTCCTTGAACACTGTAAATAAGTATTATAATTGTCCATTCAGGATTAAAAATTATGTGCTTCATCCCTAGTTTTCTCTTTCTGTTTTGATTCATGGTGATTAAATATTTCAAGTACACGTCTATAAGTATAGTACTGAACTAAATGCACAGAATATCAAAATAACGCGATACGTGAGTTCAACACAACATAATTATAGACAATATTACAAAAATAATAAAATGCTACTCTCAACAGAAGACACTAGTTTTGAACACACTTGCGATACTGAGACAAAGAGTAATTGCTGGGAAAAAATGTGCGTGTATGATTAAATTTCGTCACCAGGAAAGCTAACATGTAGTAAAATATTTAAAAAAGATAAAAAATTAGTAGATCTAATTTAATTGGATTTAAATAAAACAAAACATTCATTTCAAGTATACGTGGACGTAGGGAAAAAAAAAAAAGTATTTGATTATTTATAGTATTATAAATACTGTATATATCTCTATACCGGTAGTAATATTATATATCAATAAGTTAGGGAATATTAATATTAATTTATGATATTATGATTTTTTTCACCAAAGTCTTCGCGGGCCACAAATTGGGTGCTATGTGGCCAGCGGGCCGTAAGTTGTGCAGGCCTGGTCTACACAATTCCACATAGAAAAATCATCCATGCCCAGTGATTCATAAACAAAGTAAGAGAGTAAAGATTTTGACTTTGACAACAAAGTCATTGCAGTGGCATCATTAGAAATAAAATACTTTTCTGATCTAATCCATTGTCACTGTGATTGGTAATATGATCGTACCATAAAAATACCAATCTCAAAGTCAATAGGTTACTAATAATAATACAATACTAAATTCAACTGTTATGGTGTTTTAAAAAAAAATTAATACTATGTAAATTGATACCAACAAATCAAGATTGACCAGATAGTAATTTACTCATAACACTCACATGAAACTGTCACATTATCATTATGATTATGCTATTTACTGACTAGTCCACTAGCAAGGACGAGGCTTAATTTAGGCCTCATTCTTGCTAGTGGGCCTAATTAAAAAAACTACTTTGGGGGCTTCCATCAAGTACGTCAACAATTTTTAAAAAATTTTTTAACCCCCCCCCCCTCCTGTCAACAAGTGTCAAACTTTCAATCACCCCCACAAGTAATTATGTCCACATTTTTTCCCCCCGGAAAAAATGACTTATAATATAAATATACATATATTAGAAATGGATTTTACTTTGTGCTGATATATGTTAATAACACAGAATTGTAGGAAAACATTCTTTTGCATCTTTAGCTTGTTAATCAACAAGTTAAAAAGTTTTTACACTTAACTTTTAAAATTCAGAATCAATGAAAAGCTGTTAAAGTCTAAATATCACTGTTTTTCTTTAAGTATAAATACAATTATTTTCAGTATAGTTGACGATTGTAGCATAGTAAATCCGTTCAAGCAGCGATGTTATTATAGTTACTCCCTTTAATGTCCTCCAATTCTTAAAATATTGTATTCCTACTTTATCAATATCATTTATCTGGACTGCACATGACACTTGAACCTTGCCCTTGTTCCATACCTGAAACACGATCGCAAACAAACTGTCCTAGTCATTTGCGACAAACAGAATCTACAGGCGAAGATTGGCCCAATTTGACTTCTCTTCCACTAACAAAATATGCTAACATTCTGACCAGCCATCAGCATTGCACAGACAGACACACACTAAATAAATCTTATTTTGTTAAACGCCTAAAAAATTATATTATATTATAACTATTTTAATTTACACTCATTAAATTTGTTTAAATAATGAAAATAACCAGTCAATTTTAAAAATTAAAATTTTAATAAAAAAAAAAACTTTATTGTTGATTTCAACTAATCTCCCCCCCTTTTCCTTTTTTGTCAAAAATTTTTGTCAAACATTTCCCCCCCCCCCCCCCCAATTTTGTTGACATAATTAATGGAGGACCCCATGCCCATAGCCATAGTAAGCACTTAGTACTTACGTCTTAAGTTTTAACATTTTTACCAAATAAAAACACTGTTACTGTCTGAAGTGCCTGTGACAAAGTTAATGAGTTAGTTTTAGTTTAGCTATTACTACTCCTAGTACTAAAATTTATTTTTCTAGAAATAATAAAAATCACTAGAATAAATAAGTTATAAAGTAGGGATTTCCGCCCCAGGGAACAATGAAGTATTAGATTTATACTTAATCTGAACCAGGGCACCGTGGTCTGAAATTACATTATTACCTCATGGAACTTCGTTAAATGTATTTTTTAAAGTAAAATACTATCTTTGGCCCCATCTTTTTGTTGGAATACAACAACAATTTAACAAATTTTACGAGATCAAATAATGTACATTTTCATGAATCTTTTGTTTCTCACGGTGCAATTGTGGTAAATGGAGGATTACTCTTCTGTCTTCAAAGTTACGTTATAAAAGTTGCCCAATTGGATTTATTTATATTAAAATAAAAAGTTATATTTATATTACTTTATTTTATATAGTTGAGGTGTCCGATATTTCTTTCTAAACCAGTGGTGGGTTAAGACAAGTGTAAATATTTAAGTATCTCAATTCTCATGCTCTAGGCATCTTGTATATCTGTTGAGCCATCCGTGCTGAGTCTGTCTGTGGGTGCACAGATGGCTGATCAAGCAAATTCTGGCATGAAATCGAGGCTACACTTGTACATTGATGTCGGCATATCGAGGCTACACTTGTACATTGATGTCACATTAATCAAAAGAAATAATTCTTTTATGAAATAAATGTCCGTTTGAAATATAGTCTAACTCTTACCCACCTCTACCCTCCTCTATACGCATTCCTTGGCGCACCTATATCATCCCCACACAACCAGCTCAGACACAAATTTCACTCAAAACAAACAACCCATCCGCATCCACACACAACCTTCCCCCACAAACCATCGCCATACAAACCACATCACACACACAAACGTGCCTAAAACAAAACAACCCCGCTCAACTCAACCTTCCCTCACAAACCCGTACCCTCCCCTATACAACCAAAAAAACCTCAGTGTACATCTATCGATCTGTGTTTCTTTATAAACAATGAACTCTCATACCAATTTCGAAAATTGAACATTTTTCATAAAATAATAGTACCAAATAGATCTTGAGCAACACATTTCTAATCCGAAACATGCTGGAAATCTTGTTTCATACAACGAATCCAGGTTGAAGCACTCCAGACACCGTAGAACAGACGCGTGTTCTCCCGGCATGTCTTGAAGACATCGCCTGTTGACACACGTCTCAGCTCATCGACGGCCTTGGCAGTGAACAAGGCCAACTCGAAATGGGTTGTCGACACGTATTTCTGGAGAATGGAAACATTGTAGAGTAACATACGGGAGGGGTGAGTAGGTTGGTGAGAAGATGGTGAGTAGGTGACGAGTAGGTGATGAATAGGTCGTGAGTAGTTCGGGAGTAGGAGAAAGTCGGGGAGTAGGTGATGAGAAAGTCTGGAGTAGGTGGCGAGAAAGTCCGGAGTAGGTGGTGAGTAGGTGATGAGAAATTCGGGGAGTAGGTGGTGAGAAAGTCGGGAGTAGGTGGTGAGTAGGTGATGAGAAAGTCGGGAGTAGGTGGTGAGTAGGTGGCATGGGCGCCCGCAGAAAACTTTCTAGGGGGGGGGGCCAAAAAATTGATTAACTTTCCAGGGGGGGAGCAAAAAAAATTTAGTAATGTTTTAATATAGTTTTAATTTACTGTAGCGTATTTGTATGGTGAACGAACGGACAGGACATCAGCTTAGTTACTTTCTCTTTATTTTCTCTTTACTTTAATAAATTATTTGTCTATTTTTGTCTAAAAAAAATTTATCCAAGGGGGGGGGGGGCAAGTGCCCCACCTTGCCACTACCTGCGGGCGCCCATGGTAGGTGGTGAGAAAGTCGGGAGTAGGTGGTGAGTAGGTGATGAGAAAGTTGGGGAGTAGGTGGTGAGAAAGTCGGGAGTAGGTGGTGAGAAAGTCGGGAGTATGTGGTGAGAAAGTCGGAAGTAGGTGGTGAGTAGGTGATGAGAAAGTTGGGGAGTAGGTGGTGACAAAGTTGGGAGTAGGTGGTGAGAAAGTCGGGAGTAGGTGGTGAGAAAGTCGGGAGTAGATGGTGAGAAAGTCGGGAGTAGGTGGTGAGAAAGTCGGGAGTGGGTGGTGAGTAGGTGATGAGTATCAAAACTTAGTTGGTTGATGACTAGCTGGCGATGAGCTAATAGATATAAAAAGTTTACGGGCACCACCATGGTACACCTACCATAAAGTTCTAAGGCACTATCCATTCTACACCTACCCTAAAGTTCGAGGGCCCCACCGACACTACACTTACCCTATAGTTCTAGGGCACTACCATGCTACACTTATCCTAAAGTTCTAGAGCACCACCCGTTCTACACATGTCTTGAAGTTCTCGGGCAGCACGGTGCCAGATTCCAATAAAATTCTTTCCAGAGGTACGGCCCTGACCATATCCTTAACACAAGCTGGAGCTGTTCTGTCGACAATGGATGATGTCAAACCGAGGTACACGTTGGGGTTGCCGGGCATCCAACGACTTGCAAGGGATCTCCCACCAGTGAACCCGGCAGGTGGATCTCTTGCAAGGGATCTCCCACCAGTGAACCCGGCAGGTGGATCTCTTGCAAAGGATCTCCCACCAGTGAACCCGGCAGGTGGATCTCTTGCAAGGGATCTCCCACCAGTAAACCCTGCAGGTGAATCTCTTGTAAGGGATCTCCCACCAGTAAACCCGGCAGGTGAATCTCCTGCAAGGGATCTCCCACCAGTGAACACGGCAGGTGGATCTCTTGCAAGCGATCTCCCACCATGGCAGGTGGATCTCTTGCAAGGGATCTCCCACCAGTAAACCCGGCAGGTGAATCTCTTGTAAGGGATCTCCCACCAGTAAACCCGGCAGGTGAATCTCTTGTAAGGGATCTCCCACCAGTGAACCCGGCAGGTGGATCTCTTGCAAGGGATCTCCCACCAGTAAACCCGGCAGGTGAATCTCTTGCAAGGGATCTCCCACCAGTAAACCCAGCATGTGGATCTTCTGCAGTTTTGGCACGTGCTGAAATGAAAAGTCAGAAATATGAATATAACGATCACACGATATTCTACATGAAAGCATGCTTCCGGACTTAAACACTATTCGTAACAACGTTCTGTTGCCTCTCAGGAATGATACGAAATACAATTTAACAACAGGGCACAACAGAGTACGACAGGGCACAACAGAGTACGACAGGGCACAACAGAGTACGACAGGGCACAACAGAGTACGACAGGGCACAACAGAGTACAACGGGGCACAACAGAGTGCAACGGGCACAACAGACGACAAACAGAGTAAAACAATGCACATCAGAGTACAACAGGATATATCAGCGTACAACAAAAGTATAAAAGGTTAATCAGAGCACAAAATTTTTCAAGGTACATCAGAGTACAAAAAGGCACAGAGTACAAAATTAAATTGTACACGGTTTACCAGAGTACAAAGAGGTACATTAGCATACAACAGAATAAGTCAAAGTACAAATAGGTACAAGGTACATGAGAGTATAAGAGTGTACAACATTTTAAATGCCGGAATTCATTCATTAGTGATTTCTTAAAATGTGCTATGAAATATCACCAAGATTTTATGTACAAAAATTAATTTTCTAATAGTGTTAGTTGTAGAAATGTACAAAATATTAAAAATTTTCAGAATGTCTGGAGTACTTGTACAAATCTGTCTACTCTACTTACTTAGGCACATGTCTAGGATATTTTTTTTTCTTTTTTACAAATCTGTCTTCTGTACTTACTTAAGTATGTTTATATGTATAAATTTGTCAATTAATTAAAGTTATTAAGTTTTAAAACTTTTAATTGTAAATGATTTTTATGTGAAGTGCAGTAAGTGTAGCCCTAGCCTGTGGTACTGCAGTAAGTGGAGCCCTAGCCTGGGGTACTGCAGTAAGTGTAGCCCTAGCCTGGGGTACTGCAGTAAGTGTAGCCCTAGCCTGGGGTACTGCAATAAGTGTAGCCCTAGCCTGGGGTACTGCAGTAAGTATAGCCCTAGCCTGGGGTACTGCAGTAAGTGTAGCCCTAGCCTGGGGTACTGCGTTATACAAAAACCCCTTAATAATACTAATGCTTATAATAATATAAATTTACATTTAAATTTTTGTTTTTTGTTTTTCAACCTAATGTCATTCTGCAATGTCCGAAACTTCAGTCTTAAAAAATGTGTTTTGTCCTTTTATAATGCCTTCATGTATTCTCAGTTTTAAAGAACGGACTGGCTATAGGTACCCGGGTACCTATAGGAGCAATTGGCTTTTCGGACCTGGCTGGTCATGTGACGGCTTTATAGATTCGGTTGGTCACGTGACGGTTATGACGTATACTTCCTGTTGGATGCCATTTTAGAGCTACCATTATCAATCGAGAAATGTTCCATGTTTTGAAGACTCAATAGCGTTCAAGACACGCGGAACAATGTGACGTACAGCTAAAAGCAAGTAAGAATACGTTTATGTTTACAATTTTATTGTATTTTTTAATTCTATTTTAAATATAGTTCTATAATCATTAACATGACGTCAATCAAGATTCAAGATCAAAGTTGCTTTTTTTTTTGGCGGCAAATCGGCTACTGTTTTAGTTTTATCTGTAATTGTAATGAAAAGCCATTCGGACCCGGTATCAGAAGTGGATACTTCAATTTAATTCACCGCAAAAATTATTATTATTCACAATTCCCATAAAACAAACGTTCTTTTGAATAAAAAACAATTCGGAGAGATCAGCCCGCGGCCGCCATCTTGGTTATCGTGACCCACGAACTTATGTCCTAAATGTATCCCTAAACTAACCTGAACTAAATGTATCCCGGTAAAAGTGCAGTTTAGGTGCGTATATTATTTCTTAGCGCATTTCGTATTTTAACATTTTTTATCATGTAAACTTGCGTGTATTCTTTAATAATTTAATACAGGCAGTTATAGTTAGGCACTTGGATACAAAATTAAAAAAAATTCAAATAATTTTTTTAATAGCACAGTTAGTTAGAGCTAATTTCAAATAAAAAAAATGATACCAGAATCAACTTTTTAGCTTAAGTACTTTTTGAGCTATGAATTTTTAAAGTGTGAGTTCGTTTGGTATTTTTTACTATGGACGAAACCTCCACATCTTGTGACCTCATTCCGCTGATCGCGTCATGCGCAATGACTATATACTTTATATAAGGCAACGCATCGCCTTATCACTAAAATACTGTTTAGGGTCGACTTAGTTTAAACTTTCCCTGGCCAATGGTATAGAAGTTTTTGCACACGGCAAACTCTTATGATAGGTATTTCAAAAGACGCACGCGCATCCCT